CACTGAAAGGCGGGAGTGGTCGGCATGGGGCTGGGGGCTGCAGCGGCTGCCCCGGCGGGGGAGAGGGGCTGCCCTTTCCCTTACCTAGGTGCATTCTCTTCCTGCCCTTGTGGTGAGGCAGCAGCATGGGCTCAAACTCCACGTCTGGGACGATCATGGGCTCAATCCGGTATGCCACCGGGTCAAACTGTACGGAGGAGGGGGACAGTGAGCCAGGGCTCGTACTCCACGCGTCTCATGCAGGAAGGCTCTGGGTCTTATACCTACGGGGTGGAAGATGTTGAAGAAGCCCTTGCAGGTGGGCAGGCTGTAGTTTGGGTTGATCCGCTTCACTCCTCGCACCGTGAGAAACATCCCAATGGGAGACCCAAAGGCAAAGAAGATGGTGGGCTTGTAGTTTAGCTGAGGATAGTTTGCTGAAACCTAGGAGAGAGGGAGATTTGGGTTTCTTTCATGAGACAAACTCCATGCTGTTGTTACAAGTGCCTTGTTGTTGGAGCTAGAGCACGGTGCTGAGCTCGGTAGTTACCTGTCCTAAGCCAACGTCCCGGTATTGGCAATTCCCGCCATCGTCTGTGCTGTCCAGGTCACGCTGCGGCGGGGACCCAGGCTCTGCTCCGCGCTCCCCGCTGTGCCCGGGAGCTGCTGCGCTCTGGTCCTGCAGCAACACAACCGGGAAACCCCGCTAGCGCGGCTCCTGCAGCGAGCCCACGCCACGTCCTGCCCAACCGTGAGCAAATACACGAGGCAGCGAACTGCCCGGCGTCCCTCAGCCTCCAGAACCAGGCGGTCTCAGCAGCATCATCCTACTCCAGCCAACCACCCCCCTCGCTGGCATCACTAATTCAGTCTCTACCACCCTTAACAAGTCCTCCTGCTCTGTGATCAGCCTTACAGCCCACGGGATAAAGTCATCCTGCAGCAGGATACCACCAGTGTAACACGTGGCAGCAGCGAGCAGCTCTGTCACCACAGCCAAACACAAGCCTGTGAGGGTCCCCGGAGCAAGGATGGCCGGGAGGGAGGAGGTTGGGGTGCTCGGGGACTGATCAGAAGTGGTGAAGGCTGGTCCTTGTCTGGGAGGGATGGGATGTGACCTGGATGAATACAAGCCGTGCAGAAGACAAACCTGCATCTCCGTCTTGGAGCTGATGTAATGAAGTATCTTCATTCTCGGTCCTAAGGGAATTCCCATTTCTTTAAGGTTCTTCTCTGTGCACAAGAACTGGAAAATAAGCAACCCGGATATCAGTACAGGAGCAGAGAGGTCTGTGTGGTGAAGTATTTCTCTTCTCTGTGATTCCGTTCCTGCTGCACTCCTCAGAGACATTTCATGTGTGAGTGACTCAGTACCGGGAAGATGTGCACAGGGTGGGAGGACTGGGAAGAAAAACAAAGAAGAGACAAACAAGAGACAACAAAACAGGAGAGCTCCTTACCAGTGCTTGCCTGTCCATTTTCTCCTTCTCAAAAACATCACAATATTCGGACAGCTCCAGCTTCTTCAGGATATCTTTTACTTCCTCGATGCCCCTGTTGCTTGAGGTTGTCCTGGACCCCTGTGAACAGAGCCATCAGGGATCATGCTTTTTGCTCACTTATTTTCTCCTGTGCGTTTTGGAGTCTCTCCCCCTTCCCCAAGCAGCTGCAGAAGGAGGAGGTCCCCAGGGCTCCAGACGCTGCCGGAGAGCGCGTACCTCTTCACTGTGCTCGTCCTCCTCGGGAGCAGCCTTCTGGTTCGTCAGGAGATCAAACAAAATCAGTGACCCTAAAAACCAGACACAGGCAGACAGAGCATCAGCATCTCATCGGGGAAAACTAAGCCATCTCCTTTGTGGGATGAAAGACCGATACCCTCTCTCCTCCCACGGTACGGTGACATTCAGGGGACCTGCAGGTGAGACCCCTTACCCAAGCTGTGCCCCGCAATGGAGACCCCCCCTTTGAAGAGCGGGTTCCTCTGCAGGAAGAGCTGGTAGAGGCGGTTCATTTCGGACGCCACCGTGTCCACGATGGTCTGGCAATAGGTGGAGCTGTTGTAGAAGAAAACGTCCAGGATTGTGTCGTTGATGAAGTGACGCAGGCGATTGATGCTCGGCAAAGTGATTCGCTCCAGGTCACTGCGGGGGGAAGAGGAGAGAAGGAATTGCAGTTAGAGGCGACAGTGAACCCCACCACGTCTCTAAAGCAAAACGTAAGTTCAGAGGAGGATTGCCACCGTCTCAAAGGACATAATGTTGTAATCCAGACCCTCAGCGCATGCCAAGACCAAAGATAGAGCACAGGCTCTTACACTCCAGGCAGGAGTAGGGAGCCTGGCCTTTCTTCCCCGGGAGCCAAACCTGCTCTCTCCCCTTCCCAGGGCACTGCAGAGCAGCGCTCGAGTGCAGAAATGGGGTACTCCGTTTCCAAAGGCCTTTAGCAAGGTGTGGGTGCCCACAGTCCCTCCTGGTGTTAGCCAGGGAAAGGCAGCAGCCTCCCCTCTGCGGCTGTGCACCGATCAGAGCAGGCACGTGCTGTGCTCTGCAAAACAGGGCTGCAAAAGACGGTGGGGAGGGGGTCTGGCACGGGGGTGCTCTGCGGGACCCCGTCTGTCCTGCTCACCCGTGCACGCTCGCAGCCCCGAACACTCACAGCTTTCCCTTTGCCTGCAGCGGCGGCCGGGAAAAGCAGAGTTTACGCCGGAGGAGGCTGTCTGTGCGCTTTGCCATTCCCACAGACACCGGCACCGGAGGAGGTGGCTGTCCGGGACACTTACACGTCCACCCCGGTGGAGTGGAGGGAGCTGTGCCAGTTCACAGGCAGGAACTCCACCCGGCCGATCCGCTGCTCCTCCTGAGCTCTCTTGAAGTGCGCTTGCAGCATGCTCAGGGAAACGTTCCTGAAGTCATTCACTGGAAAAGAGCATGAACTCTTACCGAGATCCACCAGGCTGCAGGGCAAGCCTGCTGCATCAACAACGCTTAATAAGATAAAAGAAAAGATCATTACCAGGGGAAATCCCACCAGGGTCTTTAATCTGCTGCTGCAACCCTAAGACCTTGAATCTTTAACTACAAGATCAGGGGAAGGCTGCATGTCCTTAGATGGGTGTTTACTGGATTTTACTGTCCCATCTGTAACAAGTCTCCTTTCCACATGGGCAGGGCTTTAACACAGCAGTCGGGATAAGAAAGGTGCTTTTGGGAATTTAAAAAAAAAAATAAATCTGTTGTGAAGGTGCATGTGTTAGAAAGAGAATCTTAAGGGAGGAGATGAAATCACTCAGTTCTGAGGGGGAGAAGCTGATTTCCTTCATTTCAGATGGTCAGCAATCTTGAAAATAGTTTCATCTTCCTATAGAAGAACAGACTGCATTAAAGCAGAGGTATATTTTATAGGAACTAAAGGCAGTCTGCTGTGAAAAATCTCTGCTTCCTTGATTTCTTCAAGTTAAATCATGTCGGGCAGTTTCAGTGATCTCCTCTCCTGCAGAACTGAAACGCCCTGAGCAGGTCAGACCAGAGTGACTCGGTGTAGCATCCCGTCACGAATATTGATCAACAGTAGATGCTTAGAGGAGTGTGTAACACCAG